CCCAATCCCCCACAAAACGAGCTACACAGTTTAGATCATATAGATAACAAGTTTTGACTCTGCATGTCAGGACCAACCAGGGCTGAGAGGCATACAAAATCCCAACTGAAGGACCAAGATACTTGATAAAATTTATCTCCTCACAGGAATCAACTTTGGGTCTATTGCGTGAAATGGTGAAGAACCTTATCATTACAACACAGAGATTGGTACAAACAAGCTAGAAATGTACAACACTGCTTTAACTTAAAATTGAGAAGCAGACATTGGCAGACTACCAACCCTGATCATTTGCTCTTGTAGAAAAGGTGGTTTTCATGATTGTGTCCCAAACAGATAAAATAAAGGTAGAAATTTGTTCTAAAAGATATACCCTTCTTGCAACTTGGCCATTAAATTGAATTTGCAAAAGTTGTGTCATGTGACTCTTCTCACATATCATTCCCTAAGAAAATAAATCAAATTAAAGTTACATACCAGTACACTATTCACTCCTGTGGTTAAGTGGTTAATGAGCTCAGACTCGCAACAATTATGTCAAGAAATGTAGGTGGGTAGTCACATGAGTGTGTCCTTGAGCAAGGCATTGTAACGTCATGTCAAGATAATCACGCTGCTTAGCAGAGACCAACAATGGTGTGTTTGTATGATTTACTGTGTTGGTGTGGCTTTATGAATCAAGTGGCACTGACTTTTAAGCACTAAGTGTTATTTTTTTGCCATTGTGACCCGAATTCCCCACAATATACAAAAGTAATATTATTTATTCATTTATTTATTATTATTTATTTATCTATTTACTTATTCATTCGTGTATTTATTTGTCAATCTATTGCAGTTATGAAAATAAAACAAGAGCCAGGTTCCTCCTTTGAAAAAGAACGCATGCCTCTTAAACGTCGAGCTGAGGACGCTCAACCAAACACAGAATTCTCTGAGGACACTTATTCTTCCTCTCCTTCAAAAATGGGACGTCCCGGAGAAGTGTTCCGCTGCAAGTTTTGCTCTTACAAAGCCGACAAGCTTAGCAGTCTCAACAGGCACATGCGCATGCACAACAACGAGCGTACCAAAGCACCATCATCGTTGTCGACGTCATTGTCGTCGTCATCGTCGTCTCTCCACTCAGTAGAGGCTGCCTCTGAGGCAGTCAGTGCAGCGGTGGTTGTGGGAGGGGCTAACAGTAACGCCCTCAAGTCCCCGAGTCCAGAGACATTTTGCAAGGAGTGTCGCATACAGTTCTCCAGCTTCCACACCTACAAATGTCATAAGGAACACTACTGTGCACAACGGAGGAAGAAATCCATGACTGACAGCTCTTCTGCATTTGCAGCAATGTTCCAGTCTCCGTTTACATTCTCTGATGCTTCTCAAGTCGGAATTCCGTCTGCATTACAGGTACGTTCATAGCCTTCTGGTTTTTTAAAAAGTATATATGTGGGTGGTTAGCGGGTGCTCTTGTGTGGTTTGCTCCTTCTTTCCTATCAAACATCAGTTGTCCTTATCTCCCCTTCTTCTTTTTACTGTTTGTTATTCTCTTGTAACACTTCTAATCTTGTGGCGCTCATATGACCTTTCGAGCGCTGTAAAACATCTACAAAAAAAACTTAAGTATATCAACTTAATGTAAATACTGAACCTAAGCCTAATTTAACGACC